GGGTGGTGGAAAGCTATGACAAATACTTTAGCTGATTTCCAGGCTTCTTTGGTGGTCATCATTTTTGATCTAGGTGTTTTCTTTTTTTAGAAGAGGGCCTACCTGCTTTCCAAAGATCTTTTGACCTGTGTGGTGGACAAGGTCCTGGAGATTTAGGCCTCTTTGGGGAAAACTAGGCTTTTAATGCCCACACAGATTGTACCCATGGCAACAGACACCATCTAAAAGAATTTGGGTGCCAGTAATGACTCCACACCCGGCCAGGACCAAGAGATTTATTAAAGGGGACTGTTACAGAGAGACTCTGTAACGGGAAAGAGAGAGTTGCGGGTTGCGGGAGAGGGCTGTATTTATGAGCCTGACAGGGGCCGGAAGGGGCCGTGCTATGTTCCTATTGGAGGAGCTGCATGGGAGTAGGGTGGGGCCGATGCCGTGTTATAGTCCTATTGGACACATAACAAAGCTGGCCAAGGATTGGAGGCTTGCAGGTTTGAAATTGGCGCGCGGGAAGGTTTGAAATTCGCGCGCGGGGAATTGTGCTCACAGAAGCCGGGACCCAGGGCCTTTGTTGTCTGGTGTGTCCTCACCATGCTATTTGGGGAGCCGCCCCTCTGGTCGCTTCCTGCACCCTTCACCATCCCCTTAGCAGGTTTATTTTTACCAGGTTTTGATGGTCCGTTGAAGTTTTGCTGCTAATGGTGACTGTCAATTGAGATGCCTTTTTTGGCTCTCTGGTTTTGCAGCCCTCCATATTGGCACGCTGTTTTTTTGGTTTTTTTAGGCCTCGACTGAGAAAAAAACTTTAAAGTTTTTTTTTTTTTTTAATTGACTATGAAATTTTTGATCGTTTTTTGTTTGTAATGGTTTGGTATAAAACGCTTTTAGAGTGAACACACCACGTGGATGGGAAATGATCAGTCACTCTAGTTTTTTATCTTTTTTTTGAGTCGGAGTCTCACTCTGTCACCCAGGCTGGAGTGCAGTGGCACGATCATAGCCACTGCAGCCTTGACCTGCTGGGCTCAGGCAATCCTTCTGCCTCGGCCTTCCAAGTAGCTGGAACCACAGGCATGTGTCACCACACCTGGCTAATTTTTTGATGTAGAGACAAGGTCTTGCCAAATTGCCCAGGCTGGACTCGAACTCGTGAACTTGTCTGGTTGCTCAGGCAATCCTCTCACCTTGGCCTCCAAAGTGCTAGGATTATAAGCGTGAGGCATCACGCTTGGCCTCATATATATATATATTTTTTTTTAGTGTTTGAGGATCAAAGGAGTCCCGGTGGGACAGGATGCTCTCTGGAGGAGTGCAAACTGTTAATGCAGATGGCCTGTTGCCCATCTGAAATGAGAGAGAGGCAAAAGGAAAGCATCCCTTACTTTTCTTCTCTCTGATCGACACGCCAGCATGAGTGGGATCGAAGGAAGGGGAGTATTCCCCCACTTTCCCCTGTCCTTAGATACTCACGGTGTCCCCGTGGATGCCAACACGACCTGCATCCATGTGTGTGGGAGGGACTGTGTTGACAGGATTTAGTCAAGCTGTCAGTACCCCCCCGCCCCTGGCGGAGACTGCCTCTGAACCTCCTAGATTGTTGGCCTCCTTGCTCTACGGGGCCTCTCCATATGGAAATCTGAAAGATGTATTGGAGTACTTGAATTTGAGCTGGTGTACTCAGAGGGTGTGGTGTGGGTGCTGGAGGAAGGCATACACGCCACCTTAGGGGCGGGCATGAATTGGACGAACCCTATGAGTGGCAGTGCTACACATCAATCTTTGTATAGGCATTCCCCTTCCTTCATTTTTTAAAAGAGTATCAGTATATTGTTGGTTATTTGTCAGACCTAACGGAGATGAGAAGCGTCAATTTGTAAGCAGAACCCTCCTATTTTGTGTGACCATTTCAATAGAGGGCATAAAAAGTGTCTGAGGAATCTCCTTTTAATGGCCTTTGACATATTGTAACTGTTATTTAGCAAGACATGGCTGTGGAAGTAGCCCTGTTTCACATATGATTTATATAATTACAGATGGGACTGTCCCAATTTAGGTCTTAATGAAGGGAGCAAATGGGCAACCCAGTTTTAGTGGGTAAGGTTGATAGTATTCCAATAGGGAAAAGTTCGTATTGCCTTAATAACTTATATCCTGAAAAATCTCTTAAGCAGGTGCATAAAGCTTGAAAGGCTGAGGAGTAGCTTTAAATCCAAGTTTGCCTTAAACAAAAAAATACACCCTTACATTTTTCGGGGTGGGGTGGTTTACCTCCACAAAATTTTGCCCAGAAGGAGAAAATTCAGGGCTATGCTGGCCCATCCCCTCCACATTAGCAAAACGATGTTGGTCCCTGACATAAAAGAAGCAGCTCAGATGTAATGGAGGGAAAAAA